GGGGGAGGGGGGGGGGGGGGGGGGGGGGAAGACGAGCTCTGCTGGCCTTCCCCCCTACCCCCATTCTGTAGGCTCTGTTGCCGCTGCATCCAGGGAGCAGGGGGGTGGCCGGCGTTCCCCACCCCACAATGTCCCCATCATCGTGGCGGTGCTCCGTCGCGCTGCCACCTCCTGGCCGAGTGCTGTATTGGTACTCTGATTGGTTGTGTCTGTTGACCAATCAGTGAGAATAAAGTGTTATGGAAAGACAGACAGACTACAGCTTTTATAATATTAGAATTATGATAACGACTAGAGACTCCAGCCACCAATCAGAACTCAGTGTTGGGCACATATCACACATCTAATGGACATGGAGTTATGGAGGGAAACATGACTAGGCATGAAACTTTTCAGGGGTTATTGCCTACTGAATGAGACCAAGAATGAATCCTACACAAGCCTCTAGGGGTGCACCGATAAAGATTTTTCGGGCTGATACTAATGGCCAATTATTGATCAGCCATATCAGCTGATACTGATCCTATTGCCAATATGCAGTCTAGCAGCTTGGACAGCAGTGTCTGGCTGTTAAGTCTGTTGGTAGGGGGGAGGGAAGGGGCCACTGCCCACCCAACACCGACCCCCTTCCAGCCTGAGTGCAGCTCCAGCCCAGACGCCTGCTGGGAAAAACCCGGCACAGCCCCACCCCCTCCGGCCCTGAGCTCACAGCCTGCCCTCGCCCCATCCACAAATCTGAAGGACGCATGACCTTCATGCCTCCCCCAGGGGGGTGTGCAGCAGCGGCAGCAGGAGCCACCCCCCCACGGCCTCTGGATTAACCACCCACAGCTCTGCCCTGCACCTCACCTCAGCTGAGCAGCGCCTGCCCAGCCCCACTCCCTCCCTCACCATGGGGACCGCGATCTGCACCCGGAACAGACTTACTGGCCTCCTTCCCTCCCCCATGCCTCTTGCCCCACCCCAGCCAGATGCTGCTTTCAAAGCTACCGGGCTGTATACCTGGCCGCATGCATGCTGGCATGCGCGACATTATGCGAGACATTATTGGTCACATCAGCCGGAACAAGCCGATTGCCAATAATGTCAATTTTCCTTTTATTGGTGCCCATACGATACGTATCAGTGCACCTCTAGAAGCCTCGCCTGATATACCTCTGAGAACAGAAGGAAAAGCTAAACAAACCAATACAAGTTTGTTCCAAAGTGGAAAAACTACCTGTCCACTTCTGGCACAATGAAAAGCTCAAACACGGCCTGTTTTAAAATATGACCGGCTGGTATGATCCTGCAAAGATGGACGTGTGAGCTTAAAGTGATGCATTGTAGGTGCGCCTGCCAATGTTGTGTGCACACACAAGTCTCGTGACAAGCTGTATGACCATGAGTATCACTGGGCAGTGTCCCCTGGCTCCCTGGACTCATTTGGTACACTCTGCTCAGCGCCCTGCATGATGCACTCATGCTGAACCTTTTACCTTTGCTCCTGTCCCTGGTTTATATTTTGTCCCACAAATTTAGTTGACGCATACCCACTAGCCAGCCCCCTCTATCAACTAACTGGTACTCTGAGAGGATAAGGCCCATTTCCCAATGTGCATCAAACAGGCCTGTGTCACACCGTTGCTCCTGTTCCCACTTTGCTCCTTTGTTGCCCCATGTAATCAGTTCACAAATCTAATAGCTCCCTCTATTAACAGGGGGATTCACTGTTGCTCCGTGGGCCTCAGGCGTGCGTCAAGTAGGCTGTGTCACACGGTGGCAAAGAGCAGATGCTGAAAAGGAAAGTAGACTGGGCCTGAGCACGGTTCCTCTCTCCCATGCAGCCTCCAGTACGTAAGATCTACAAAGCTCCAATTCAGAGGCCATGTCCCTCGGTCCCAGGCTCAATAGCTGCAAATGCCCCTTTCCTCCAACAGTGTGCCCAACCCTGTCGTGTAACTGGCTAAACTCTCATCTTCTGCAGCACCTGTTGGCAATGAGCTCCGCACCAGGTGAAAAAGGACTTCCTTGCATTTGTTTTAAACTACCTAATGGTTGCATGTTGCAACCCCTCGTTCTTGCGAGACAGGCTCAGAGACGCTGCGCTGGAAGGGAGCTCCAGAGACCGTCTGGTCCAACCCCTGCCAATGCGTTGCAAGTTGCAGCCCCTCGCTTATGCCAGATGGGCTCAGAGACCGTCCAGTCCAACCCCTCAGTTTGTATCGGGATGAATCCCCCTCCATCGCCCAAACTCCACGTAAGATAAGTGCCTAACACCCAGCCTGGCATGGGAAAAGCAGGGCAGCCAGGGCGCCCACCATCCTGCTTCAGCGCAGACAACACGCTGTCAGGTGCAGCACATGCGGCCTTTCCTCTCTGGACTAGACGACATCCCTTCCAGCCCGATGAAGTCCCGGGGGGAGCGACTTGCTCGTCCTCACTCAGCGGCTTGGAAATCCTCATTGCATTGCTTTTCTCAGCCGACTAGTCTGGGTGTGCAGCGTTCGGAGGATGGTTTGCACAGGCAGGGGTTGCACCAGAGGTCAGCCCGGGGCATCCCCCGATGCCCCTCCATGGCACAGAGTTGGGCGCCCCAGGGAGCCACGTGACAGCCTCTCCCCACCTTCTCCTCCGCAATGGTCCATCCCAGGTGCACCCTCCCTTCCATTGGTTTGTCCCAAGCGCTGCCTGGCCCGCACAGTGATTTCTCCTACCCCCACCCCCACCAGCAGTGGCCTCACCTGTAGAGGATGAGGTCATAGAGACAGCGGCCCTGCACGTTCAGCGCGTGCGCGTAGAGGGCGCGCGGCACCGCCCCCTCGGCCCGCGCCAACCGCATGACGTCATGGGTGAGCAGCCCCTGCAGGAAGGCGAGCGCCTCGGGGCCCCGCACGCGCAGCAGCGCCCGCCG